GCCTAAAATTACCTAATGTTCACTGTAGACATCCTATCCCTGACCCCAGTCCCTAAACTTAACCATTTATCCTGATACCTCAGACCCCCGACCCAAAGACCCCTGGTGGCGCAACCCGGAAAAGCCGCGGGCGGCAAGGACTGACGCGAGGGGGGTACCTGATGCGTCAAAATTGGACGCAAAGGGACCTTTGAAAAACGTCAATATGTGACGACTCGGGAGTGAGAATGTGTTGTAGTATCAGGTGCACAGGGGAGGAGCTGGGGAAGAACGCAGAAGCCACAGAAGGAAATCACAAGGTAATCAAAATGAAAAAAATAAAATAAAAACCAGAACATAAAAATATGTATGAGTCCCTTCAGGGATATGTCCAAAAAATAACCCCAACTAATATTTTTATGCATTATTCTGGTCAGAACCAACAACAATGAGTTTACAGTTTTATTTTGAAACAAAAAAATACACAGCTTCAAAATGTCGCTTTGAACCTTTTAGTTTGAGCAAATGACTTAATTCCTAAGGTGTTGCATATTTGATCTTGAAGTGTTCCTATASAGACATGCTACTGCTTCTTAATTGAGCATACAAGAAATTAATCATTTAAGCSTACAGGTGGACAGCTGTGTAACATTAAATAGGCTATGGTGCAAAGGTTTATAAAATAGTAATGWGACACAGAGTGCATTTACTCAAACTGATTCATCCCATCGATGATCTCTCAGGTTATTTTCCACCGAGGATGGTTCTGCTGAACTTGTTAAAAATGCAAATGTTTATTCATTTTTTCACTCCATTCACCACACATAAAAAAAACACACACACAAAAAGCTGAAGCCGTACCGCAGCGGAGAGATGACGGATGTACGAGATACGATAAAGATGAGAGGGCAAGCTTTCAGAGCACCATTGATTTTTGAACAGCTTGATCCCCTCGTAGATCAACAGTGGATTAATGCAACTGCCATCACCGTGCAACGGATTGCTATTTAGTATGGGACGCCACATTCTGTAGGTACTTTCAAGTGACATTGGCTTGTCTCAGAGGGGATGTTGCACAGGAAGATTTTAGATCAAATAGTTCAATCTGTAGGTGTGGATTCTGGAGCAACAGAGGAACAAGCTCCTCTTTTTCTCTCTTTTTTAAAGTGTTTGTATCCTCAACTTAGGTGCTTATTTTGGAATTTGAGAAAATAAAATATTTGATCACAACGTCTGACAGGTCAAATTACTTATACGGATAGTTTATGCCTTTTGAAGTGGGGATCAGTAGAAACATAATGAAGCAATAATGTGTTACCTCTGTAAATATCATCAGCCTCAGTTTGATGAAACAGGGTTTAATTCCTAACAGATTGATGAGTTAATATTTATTCAGAGCAGAACTGAGACAAAAGTAGATTTCAGTCATCATAAATTAGGTCTGCAACCTATGGCTCTCGGGCCATATGTGGTTCTTTGGTCCCTCTGCAGCGGGCTTTTGAAGCTTTGACCAAACTAACATGAGATTACCAGTACTTCTTGGTTTGTAAACCCACAGCAAAAAAAAGGTAGCTTTAGCTATCCTGTCAATTTGTTTGCAAATATGTGACTGAAGCTACTAAAACAAGGAGTGAAACTCGTGGATTACGTTATTAGTTTGATCTCTCTTTCAAATCCTCCAGGATTATGTTGGAAAACCTTCACGAAAAGTTGCTGAGAGGAAATATGGTGAGTCGATTCAATAGCAAATACAACTGAAAGACAAACATCTGCCTGTGTATTTCAGGAAAAGGAACCAGCACAGCATCTGTACTGTCAAAATAATTCACCAAAGGCTGACTAATTTTGTCAAAATTTCTAGATATATTAATAAATATGTGGATATATTTCTACGCAAATGCTGTCAAAATGTATAGTTCTGTTTGGGAAGCAGATGGCAACATGTTGCATTCAGCATATGCATACACACAATACACGTGGATTTTATTTTGAAATCAGAAGTTTCAAAAAGACAGCGGTTCAGTTGTCTTTTTGCAGTACTTGGATTCTGTCTTCCACAGAATTAAATCTTTTGCTCTAACTTCCACATTTATCACTGAATTCATCGCGCAATCTCACATTTCCTGGTTGTGTATTTACTGCAGAGGTCTGCCTGGAGCAGAACCACATCCAATGTGAGTTGAGGGTTACACCAGATTAATGTTTGTATTCAACATATTTCAAGATGTCCTCTGTAACTAATGGGCTTTCACCAACACATAAATAGTTATAACTCAGTCATTTCTTCCGATGTTGGAAATTTGGTGTGGTAGCACGTGTAAGTCATACATAACTACTTTTAGCAAAATGAATGCTTGTTCATAATGCTATTTTCAACGTTTGAAAAAAAACAGCTCCATCTTTTCTCAACACAAGTTGATCTTTGTGTCTGGTGATGGTGGCCATATGTATTCCTTTAAGAAAAACAAATTTACAAATTGCAACATACCTAAAGTTAAAATGTGTAATTTCATTAAAAGAAGCTCATCGTTTACCTTCCTTCTTGAATTCTCAGCTCAGATTTTAAAGTGTGACTTTGTATATATA